CACAGAGTGAAATGCATTGATTTTAAGTGCACAGTTCATTTGGTTTTTGCTATTGTAAAACCTTATGTAACTCATACCACGTTAGAAACTACATCTAAAATAGTTCTGCTATGTGGTGCTCTTGTTCTCCAATCCCCTGAATGCCTACACACTGAGCATGCAATGTTTCCTCAAGGGTGGGCAGGGAGAATCCTCATTATTTTCTCTGGCTCTTTCACTGATGTTTCTGATGAAAACAATATAAGTGTTACTACTAGTAATAATAACTAATGTATAATGAGTTCTTATGTGCCATGCACAGTTATAAGAGGTTACATGTTACATCCCTGTACTCATCCTAGTCTTACAAGGTAACTACTATTATTCACATTCTGTGAATAGGAAAACCAAGGCCTTAAACATTTAAGGAACTTGAATCAAGTTGCACAATTAGTGAGTGTTGGAACCCAGACTCAAATCATGACAAAGTAACTCTGAAACGTTTTCTTTTACAGCCTATGTTAGGTTCCCTCCTAAGAATGGAACTTTATGTTATCAATATTCTTCCTTTCCTTAGTTGATATGCAAATGAGGATATTTTTTGTTGTTTTTCTTCAGTTTTGTTTATTTCTTCTCTTCTACCATCTTTCAGTAAAAAGCATTTATTTAGCACTATATTTGTTGGCTTCTTTGTCTCTTAGTTTAACCTTTAGTGTGATGTGGTTATTACAGTGGACACTTTGGTTTAGTCTGTGAGTGGATTTCCTGGGTTTAACTTAAGTTTTTGTCTTTTTTGTTTGTTTGTTTGTTTGCTTTGACAGAGTCTTGCTCTGTTGCCCAGGCTGGGGTGCAATGGCACACTCTTGGCTCACTGCAACCTCCCCCCCGCAGGTTCAGGTGATTCTCCTGCCTCTGCCTCCTGAGTAGTTGGGATTACAGGAGTCCACCACCATGCCCAGCTAATTTTTACATTTTTAATAGAGGCAGGGTTTCGCTATGTTGATCAGGCTGGTTTCGAACTCCTTACTTTAGGTGATCTATGTGCATCGGCCTCCCACATTGCTGGGATTATAGGTGTGAGCCACTGTGCCCGGCCAATTTTTTATCTTTATTCATGCAAAGATCTGTTTCCCTATCAGTCAGACCTGAAGCTAATTTATGGTGTTTTTTTCAGGGCTTACTCACTACATTTATCAGCCTATAAACCAAACTCTGCAAAATTATTTGGTCATTAGCTCACAGAAGCTCCTGCCTATTTAAAACATTTAAAGTATGCTGAGTGCCTGAAACTTCTGGAAGGATTACCAGCAACTTTACACTAGTTTCCAGGATCCCTTGGCAGCCTCAAGGATAGCCTCATAAAATAGACTGAAAAAATTTGCTCCCATTACACAATTTTCTACAAAAGAAAGTTTATGACTATAGATAAAAATATGTCTAATAGCAAGTAAAGTAGATTCCCTGAGTAAGTAATAACTTCCTAATTAAAAAAGAACAACAAATAACAAACCAAAGCAAAAACAAAAACTTTTTTCTTTTTAACAACATAGTGACAAAGCCCTAAACTTTATCTAGATTTATTTCTTATATTTAAAATCAATTTTTTTTTTTTTTTTTTTTTGAGATGGAGCTTCTCTCTTGTTGCCCAGGCTGGAGTACAGTGGTGCTATCTCTGTTCATTGCAGCCTCTGCCTCCTAGGTTCAAGCCATTCTGCTGCTTCAGCCTGCTGAGTAGATGGGATTACAGGCACACACCACCATGCCCGGCTAATTTTTGTATTTTTAGTAGAGACAGGGTTTCAGTATGTTGGCCAGGCTGATCTCCAACTTCTGACCTCAGATGATCCGCCCATCTCGGCTTCCCAGAGTTCTGGGATTACAGGCATGAGCCACTGTGCCCAGGCTTAAAATCAATTTTTAATAAAGATAGGAAATATGGTACACATTTTCAAGTAAAAATACTATAATATAGACAATCTTGCTGATACTATTACTTAATGTTTTTGAAACAATTAGGAAAAGGGTAATAGTATTGGATAGAATAGGCTGTTGTTGAGACAAGTTGCTCATGCACTACATTGGCTTGGCAAGCCAGGGATATTGAAGAACTTGGATTTTCTGACTGTTTGAGAAACAGAACAGTATTTGCAAATAAGTAGGGGTTTCCTGGAATAGAAACATAATGCAGATGCTGATTCTCTTAAATAAACCTGGGCCACCAACTGTGCTTATGTTGATTAGTATTCTGTGTTTAAAGTACCATTTTTCTGCTCAGTTTTCTTTTAAGAGGAATATTGAAATACAATATACAAGATTATTATTTTATAAGTGCCAGGGGATTAGATCTCTGTGAATGATAAAGTTTAGCCTGTTTTCAAGGCTTAGGTGTTTTCAAGATGTAGATAAAATTTAAAAACTTAAAAAAATAAGGAGAGTCTGTTTCGTAATTAGATAAGAAGTTTAAACAGCAACTTAGTTTTTCACATGAAATGGTATAGTTAGAATTCTTTCAGTGCTAATGTCTTAATATATAGTGCTACCAGGCTATGAAATCAGGATAATTTGAATACTACTTGAAGTGGCAATAATATGTAATTTTGACTTTTTGTCATAACTAAAGTTTAAATTAAATTCTCAATAACCTCAGCTGTTAGGCTCTTATTAGGAAATGACTTAGCTTAGACATTTTAATATTTAATGAATACTGAGTGATTTCAGATTTTCTATTGTAATAATATTCTTCATCTTTTCTTAAACAATATTTTAAATTCTTTATCTTGCTTAAGCTTCACAGTATTTTGTGAGATTGATGGGACAGGACATATGTTAAAAACAAATGAAGCACTGAAAAGCAAGATACCTACCTAAGGTCATCTCTTTATTTGATGACAGAGCCAGGCATGGTGCGTTTACATCTTCCAGGATCATTTATGTATAAGGTACTCCTTATAAACTTGGGGATGGCTGTGTAGTGACCATCAATGTTATATGTACTTCTCCATGGAATTATTTTCTACGATAAACTGAAAGGATCTACTCTGTGTTAAGACTGAATACAGAAAATTTGATAGCTTGAATTGTTTCATATCTCAAATTTAGAAAAGAATGTACACAGTAACAGGAAATAACTATGGGACAATAATTCCTTTATTATCAGGTTTAGAGGCTGATTTCCAATATTTAGCTATCATTTTTATAGAAAATTAAAGTGGAAATGAAACAAAGTAGATAATAACATGTTACTTTTTCTAAGAAAAAAACACCCAAATGTCATGTATTCTTTGGATTTACATATATCTCTCCATTTTATATGTGTGTGTATATATATATATTCTGAATAAATGTAAATGTAATTTTTTTGTAGTTACTAAAATAAAATCTGTTACAATAATTATTTTGTAACTGGCACTTTATGTGAATTTTGAATTTGTTGCTAGTTTAGGTTGGTTATAACAGGCAACAGAATTTCTGTTGCTTTATGGTGCTGTCAGCTGCTGTTAATTTAAAGAGCTTGTGCTCATCAAATTATACTTTGATGTTTTTATTCTGAGACACACGTTTATGAAATATTTCAAGTGTCTTTGTATTTAATACTGTTCACCCCAAATAGCTCTGTCAAAACTTCATCACTTATCTTATTCACATCAATAAGTTTATATTTTACTTGATATTATTTGAAATGTAACAAATGGTATCAGATTATGTTTTGTCTGATTTACTTACTTTATAGATAAAAGTTGGTTAACCAGGTAGTTAAACAAATGTAGTAGTATGAATAAAATGCTCAATGTAGTATAAAGAAAACAAATATGTGTAAGGTATTCATTCTACACTTACCTTGGAAAACGTCTCTTAATAATTATGTTTCTGTCTTTGTTATAGCCGTTAGAATTCTTGCTCTGATTATTTTAAATCATTTATATTAATATGTTTTTCCTCTGATAAATTGGATGCATGCTATCTATTCTAAATACACATTTATTGTAGATACTTTCTATGCAGATCAGCTGGGATTTTGGAGGCTATCTAATTATTAAACATGTCTTGTAATTGCTCTACTTAAGAATATGAGAACAATTTTTGTTATTTTATATATTTATTTTATTTTATTTTTATGTATGTATGTATTATTTTTTTTGAGACAGAGTTTCGCTCTTGTCACCCAGACTGGAGTGCAGTGGTGCAGTCTCGGCTCACTGCAACCTCCACCTCCCAGGTTCAAGTGATTCTCCTGCCTCAGCCTCCTGAGTAGCCGGGAATACAGGCATGTGCCACCATGCCTGGCTAATTTTTGTATTTTTAGTACAGACATGGTTTTACCATGTTGGCCAGACTGGTCTCAAACTGCTGACCTCAGGTGATCCACCTGCCTCGATCTCCCAAAGTGCTGGGATTACAGGTGTGAGCCACCATGCCCAGCTCTGTTTTATGTTTTGATAATTATCTGTTCTGCAAAATGCTTTATAAGTATGATTCTACGTAATCCTCATAACAAATGAGGTTTAGGTTTGGCATTTCTATCCACATTATACATACGAGGAAACTGTGGCTTAGAAAGTCTTCTATTCCTAGGAGGTGTATGGACCTAGACATGTCTGTCTATAAAGGCCAGATCTTAGGTGCTATAATATAATGTATCCTAGGATGATTTCTATTTCAGTATTATTGGCTAGTCAGAAGTACTGAATTAGAGTAAACTCAGAATTGCACTGTTTGACAACCTGGTGCTATAAAGAATATCATGATATGACTTTAAAGTCATTACAATACACCTTAAAGGAATCAAATAGTTTGTCAAGGGCCTAGCAGAGTAGTGGCAGATCTAGTATTAGGTATTAAAATGTTAGCCAACTAGCTTGCTAGCAACTTTCATTTATTTAGGCTTTTAATTTTGGATTCGAAGGCTTGAGTGCTGATATATTTGAGAGCACTAAATAAGTCCTACATTTCATGTTATATGTTCTTTATCCAAAAATCTATGTGTACAATTAATGAAATTTTCTTCTTTTTTTTTAATACAGTGGAATGTATCCTGCTTTTATCTTGGAGTTCACCTGTGTGGCTTGGATTTATCACAGTAGCATTTGTCTTCAATCTGTGTGTTAACTAGAAATCAAGGAAAGACATGAGGAGATTTGTTTACTGCAAGGTGGTTCTAGCCACTTCATTGATGTGGGTTCTTGTTGATGTCTTCTTACTGCTGTACTTCAGTGAATGTAACAAATGTGATGATAAGAAGGAGAGATCTCTGCTGCCTGCATTGAGGGGTAAGTGCTTATGAAGCAAATATTTTTATAGAGATGTCTTGACAAAATAAGAAACTTCAGAATCAGAAGAGTTTTGCCTTAGTGAGTTAGAAGAGCATTTTGGCAGCACTATTAATGCATGTTTAACCATGGGGAAGTTACTTTACTTTTCTTGGTCTTAAGTGTCTTCTTGGAAGAAATAAGAACAGTTAGCTAACCTCTAAGATAGTGTTGAACCTAATAAATTCTGGTGTTCTATGACTGTATGAAAAGAACAGTTTAGTGAACATTCAAACTGGGCAGAATTTTAAATCTAGGCTCCTAGAAGCCAAAAGCCTTTAAAGACCAAGCACATAACATAAAACGGAAAAACCACTCAAGTGAGACAGGTGGCGATTTTAGCAAACGAACTGTGCATGAATGACACCACTAAAGACTTCCAAAACAGTTGAAATAAAACAACCAGTTTTTAAAACAAAACACATGGTGGTATGCAGATTTACCAGATTGCAGGCTGTATGTTAAGTGAAAAAGATAATTTCAAGTATACTATAAAATTACTTTAATTCAGTATTTTTCTCTTGAGGGACCAGTTTCAAAGACTAAATATGAATGTAAACATAATAATTTGTATGAATGGTTATTTATCAAGTAAAGCCACAGAAATTTGTTTTCTGTGAAGTTATTCCAAACAATTTTCTCTATGCTTTCTTTTTTGTTGACTTCAAGATCTATAAATGTGTTTCTGAAGTATTCCTAGAAAATTCAATACTTCTAAAATATGTAAGAGTACTCAAAATTAGTTTTGTTCTCATTGAACGAACATATTCTCTGTTTGGCAAAAGTTTTATGCATAAATATGACAAAAAGCAAGCTTCAATTGAAGTTTGATGAAATGTTTATACCTTTTGGAAAAGTGAATCTAAATTATCAAGTTGAGATTTACATTTATTTAATGAATGTGATCTGCTTTTAATGTTATAGATATTTTTGAGATATTTATTGAACAAAATATTTTAATAAGCAGAATTTCATTAACAGTATCAGGTTATATGAAGTTTAGGGAAACAGAAGAGCTTTTCCAAAATTTAATTTTTGCTCAAAGAGTATTTTAGATATGTTGAGTTTGCTTTAGATTACAAAAATACTCTTGTTCATTTAGGGAAATCCTGAATCGCTTCCTTGTCTTTTAAAATGGAGCTTTCATTTTAGATTTTGACTAATATAAATAATTAAAAAAATTTTGGGAGTGACTGATACTAGACCCATTTAGGTAGTTTACATGCATTTTTTATGCCTTTATACTACAGTTATTCTGAGAGGGGAACGTTATAAGTCCGTGTTTTTGACAAATGAACATGGGGAATGATTTACTGATCTTTAGTTAAAACCCCAGAATTAATCAGCCTTTTCAGCTTCTTTGTCAAAATCAGTTGAGTTGCTGCTTGGCTGAATGTAGAAAAGTGTTTTTGATGGATTACATCAGTTTGGAATGATCACTCTGTCATTTGTTGAAGGAAACCATCTAGGTTGGTCACACACACACAAAAATGTTACAATCTGATTCAGCAAAACTTCGATAGGCTTTTCTACAAGTAACAAAAAGGTACAGTCTTGTTGATTTATGTCCTTAATGCTCCTTAAGTCTTAAATCTCAAAATGTGAAATATAACAATGCAAGGCAAAAATAACTTTTCCTTGTATTTAAATTGTAATTAAACTGTTGTTCTCTTTGTTTATAAGACTTGTTGTTTTACTTAATTCAGGTTGTTAAAAAAATATAGACTTGGTGGCTAACAAAGAACAGATATTTATTTCTTACAATTTTGTAGACTGGGGATTCCAAGATGAAGGTGCTAGCAGATGCAATTTCTGATAAGGGCCTGTTCCTTATAAACAGCTGTCTTCTCACTAACCTCACTAGGCAGAATAATTGAGAAATCTCTCTGGGGCATATTTTGTAAGGGCACTAATCGCATTCGTGAAGGTTCCACCTTCATGACTTAATCACCCCCCAAAGGCCCTATCTCCTAATATCATTTTGAGGTTAGGATTTCAGTATATGAATTTTGCAGAGACACAAACATTCAGTACATTGTACTACTTTCAAGTTTTATATTAATACTATTTGTCTTTAATAAATGGAAAATAGACTTGAGGGTTTTAATTTCATTTTCAATTGTCACTTATTTCAAAATTTTACTTTAGGAATTTGTATCTTGTTTTCAAAATATTTTATTTGTAAGCAGATGATGCTATGCAAAATGTACCTAACTGAGTTTTTCGTGTTTTAGGCCTGCTAAAAACAGGCTTTTTTACTTATAAAAAGATCCTTCTGAACCTGTGCATGTCCATTATTAAAGCAAAGGTTTTGAAGTAGGCAGTTTCTGAGATCACTTATATGTCTAAATTTTAAACAATTCATAAGGACCCAATATTAGCATACACTATTAGTTAATTTTTGAGATATTTTCATTCATTCCTTCATTCATCAATTAATTAATTAATTATTAAGTTCTTACTGTATGCAAATCCTGGGGCTATAACTGAGGTCCCTGACATTTGGGACATAAGGGAACAAGGCTCCCACCTGTCATGGAGCTTAAAGTCAAATATATAGTAAACGTTTTTCTCTTTCTATATGTATTTTTGTGACTCTGTGTGTGTGTGTGTGTGTGTAATCATGTGACATATAATGATTTTTTGGTCAACAACTGACTACTTATATGATGGTGATCCCATAATATTTTAGTAATGATCACCGACATTGAGTTAGTTTTTTTCACATGATTTTTTGCCACATGTATGTCTTCTTTTGAGGAGTGTCTGTTCATGTCTTTTGCCCACTTTTTAATTTTTTTTTTTCTTGTAAATTTGTTTTAAGTTCCTTATAGATGCAGGATATTAGACCTTTGTCAGATGCATAGAGTGCAAAAATTTTCTTCCATTCTGTAGGTTGTCTGTTTACTCTGTTGTTAGTTTCTTTTGCTGTGCAGAAGCTTTTTAGTTTAATTAGATCACATTTGTCAATTTTTGCTTTTGTTGCAATTGCTTTTGGTGTCTTCATCATAAAATCTTTGTCTGTGTCCATGTCCTGAATGGTATTGCCTAGGTTGTCTTCCAGGGTTATTATAGTTTTGGGTTTTACTATATTCAAGTCTTTAATCCATCTTGAGTTAATTTTCTATATAATGTAAGGAAGGTGTCCAGTTTCCATATTCTGCATATGGCTAGCCAGTTCTCCCAGCACCATTTATTGAATAGGGAATCCTTTCCCAATTGCCTATTTTAGTCAGGTTTGTCAAAGATAAGATAATTGTAGGTGTGCAGTCTTATTTCTGGGTTCTGTATTCTGTTCCATCGGTCTATATGTCTGTTTTTGTACCAGTACCATGCTGTTTTGGTTACTGTAGCCCTGTAGTATAGTTTGGTGTCGAATAGCATGATGCCTCTAGCTTTATTCTTTTTGCTTAGGATTGCTCTGGCTTTTGGGCTTGTTTTTGGCTTCATATGAATTTTAAAATAGTCTTTTCTGTTTCTGTGAAGAATGTTAATGGCAATTTAATGGGACTAGAAAAAAAGCTCAACATCACTGATTATTAGATAATTGCAAATCAGAACCACAATGAGATTCCATCTTATGCCAATCAGAATGGCTACTATTAAAAAGTCAAAAAACAACATATGCTGGCAAGGTTGTGCATAAAAAGGAACACTTATTTCCTGTTGGTGGGAGTGTAAATTAGTTCAGCCATTGTGGAAGACAGTGTGGTGATTGATTCATCAGAGACCTAAAGACAGAAATACTATTCAACCCAGCAATCCCATTAGTGTATAATACCCTAAGGAATATAAATTGTTCTATTATAAAGAGACATTCATGCATATGTTCACTGCAACACTATTCATATTAGCAAAGACATGGAATCAACCTAAATGCCCATCAATGATAGGCTAGATAAAGAAAATGTGGTACATATATACCATGGAATACTATGTAGCCATAAAAAAGAATGAGATCATGTCCTTTGTAGGGACATGGATGGAGCTGGAGGCAATTAGCCTTAGCAAACTAATGCAGGAACAGAAAACCAAATAGCTCATGTTCTCATTTATAAGTGGGAGCTAAACAATAAGGACACATGGACATGTAGACAGGAACAACACACACTAGGGTTGAGGGCAGGAGGAGAGAGAAGATCAGGAAAAATAACTAATGAGTAATGAGTATTAGGCCTAATACCTGGGTATGAACAAGTGTGTACAACAAACCCACATGACACATGTTTACTGATGGAACAAACCTGCACATGTGCCCCTGAACTTAAAATAAAAGTTAAACAAATGAGAACATTTTACTGTACCTTTTCTATGTTTGGATATGTTTAGATACACAAATACTTACAATTGTGTTATAATTTCTGATAGTATTGAACGTAGTAACATGTTAAACATGTTTATAGCCTGGGAGCAATAGGCTATACCATACAGCCTAAGTGTGCTGTAGGCTGTACTATTTAGTCTTGTGTAAGTACATTCTATGATGTTTGCACAATGATGACATCATCTAGTGATGCTCTTCTCAGAACACTTCCCCATCATTATGCAACGAATGACTGAATATATATTCAACTAAAAAGGTAAAATAAGTTAGAAATGATTACAAAACATAATTGATATTGGGATCGGGAAGAAGAGGACACTGGATCTAGAGTATTGGATAACATTTCTCAAGCCAGGCATGGTGGTGTGTGCCTGTAATCCCAGGTACTCAGAAAGCTGAGGTGGGAGGATTGCTTGAGTTCAGGAGTTTGAGTACAGGCTGGACAATATAGTGAGACTTCAACTCAAAAAAGTGAAAAAAAATGAACCTTCACAAAGGCTGTAACATTAACATTTAGGTTTACAGCATAAGAGTAGGAAACAACTAGTAAAAAGCAAAAAAATACTAAAATTCTAATGGAATGATAAAGATTCCAGAAAGCCCAGGATACTTCTAAAGGGGAAAAATACAGAGTGGG